GGAAACATAGATGCATTGACCAGACTATCTAATCTCAGAGGGGAGGCAGGGGAGCAAGAGGGAGGGTAAGAGATCAACCAAAGGACTTGTATGCATGCATATAAGCATAACCAATGGACAGAGACACTTAGGGGGGTAAGGGCATGTGCTTGGGGGTGGCAGTGGCTGGGAAGAGGTCAATGGGGGGAAAAGGAGACATACGTAATACTTTAAACAATAAAAAATTAAAAATAAATAAATAAAAGTAACCTGTTGAAGTGTGTGTATATGTGTGTGTGTATGTATATGTATGTATGTGTGTATGTATGTGTATGTATATATATGTGTGTGTGTGTGTATATGTATATATATGTGTGTGTGTGTGTACATATATATATATATATATATATATATATATATATATATGAAAAGCAATACCTAAGTCATTCTGCCTTTGTTGGCAGGTCATACTTAATGCTTATAGTTCTCAGTGATTAATATTTAGATGACATGTTTGAAATTTAAAAAATATTCTCTGTACAAAATCTCTAGCAATAAATATTATTATTAGGAAGAGGCTAAATTTAAAGGTGACTATAAAAGTTACAGCTCTGAGTTCAGGAAGCCTGGTATCTGGAGATACCTCTTGAGTGATAACTAAATCTTACTTGGTCAGCTGAACAATAAAGTTCCAACATGACACCTTCCCTAAAGAACAATAAAGCAGTATAAGGCAAATTCGAACTAAGTGATTTATTACTGGAATTACTAGCAGAACTGAATTTATGAAAACCCTTTCCCCTATACTCCCCTCCCACAGGATAGGATTATGTTAAAAGGAATCATTCCTAAACTGGCCTCTTGGTTTGGGTTCCATGGAAAACGCTGCCTAGTGGTCCCTACAAGACAAATGGCAAGTTTAACATGTAAAGTAATTTTTGCACTTGCTTACTCCAAATTCCCATGGCCATAGGAAAGTTTACTGTTTAAAGAGAAACTTAAAGAGAGATTAAACACAATAGGTCCTTGTGCCAGTTCTTATGGCAAATAAATCTATATATATAAAAGCCTAAGCGACTGTTATGACTCAACAGA